CCCGCCCCCCCTTCTGTTAAGTCGTTTCTTTCAGTCTCGTTTTTTGTTCGTTTAATGATCTAATGACCGTCATGATGATGTACAGGATGTAGATGACTGATCACATGCATGGTATTGTGCTGTGACAGCGTGGAAATTATCCGTGCACGTAAACCTCATATTAGGGAAGAAGGGGAGTCCGCACTGGCGATATCTGTAAGGAAGGAAGTTCAAGGGGAGTAATGCAGACCAAAACCAGAGCACATGGAGTTGGCCTACAGAGAAATGTATCTTTCTATTGCTCTTCTCTGTTTCAGTTGCCTAAATAGATGCGTAATTCAAATGAATTTTGGCCTGTCTTAAACAGACACTGAAGTCAACAGTCATGTTGTGCCACTTCTAGCAGACAGGGAAACTGTGTAAGACCAATCTTGAGGGGCTGGATTTCTGACAACATCTGTTAATAATTGTGCATTTTTTCTCTTGATTGTGTGTAAGTGGTGTACTGGTATCAGGGAATAGGGGAGGGAAGCCGTTTCTGTTGTGAGCTTTGATAAAAATTCAGTAACTGTAAATTCTTTCAAATCAACTTGGATGTCTTGCATGATCTACTAATGTGGGAAGTAGAAGCAGGATAGTAATTTTGAAAGAAGGTTATGTTCAGTCAGAAGGGAATTTATTTTACTGTAGATATGTAGTTTTCAAAGAAAATCCCAGAAATCCATAGATGCCTCTGCAAGGCAACTTGCACAAAATTGGCAAGGGACTAAATAATAATTTCATTTATTTCTTCATATTTTATTTCATAAGTAATTATTTTCCTAACAAATAAATATTTCTGAGATGCTCTTTCACAGTGCAGAAGAAACTAGATTTTTTTTTTCTCATCTTTTACCATATTAAAGCTGTGATAGTTATCCTAAGAGTGAAATGCGTTCTGACTGGATATATTACATATTTATTAATTATTACTGCAGAAGAGAATGTGTATAACTATAAAATATAGTATGCATAAGAGATAACTCTGGTATTGTCACAGGGACTGAATTTTATGAAGCTGTTTTGTATTTTATACTTTGCCAAATGGCACATTGCATCTTTCTCATCATCATCAGTGTTATGTTTGTAAATACTAAGTAGGTAGAGTTTGGCTTTAAAGTATTTGAAGATTCTGTTGTGTCCTTGACTTACACAAAGTCACTCACACTTTACACTTTCTAAAATTTTTGCAGCTAACTTTTCTGAGCAAGTAGTTGAAAGCTTTCCATCTGATATCTCTACTGGTATATACTATGGATGGGCCTGTGTTGGAAATGGAGATGTGCATAAAATGGTTTTGAGCATAGGATGGAATCCTTTCTATAAGAATATTAAGAAATCGGTGGTAAGAATTTTGCTTTGTGGGGGATTTTTATTATAACAAATGAGCCAGATGTTGAATTTGAATAGGATAAGCAGAATTTGATCTGTAAATGAGATCTAGAAATTCTGTTTGCTTTTATAAATGTATTTGGTATCCATATCATATGTTTGTATCCTGAAAAGAAAATACTCTCAGTAGCCAGAGAGTATGCAGCTGTAGGCGAATAAAATTTATTTTCTTCTTTCTATTCCATCATACTTCCAAAATAAAAATTTAATAGTATTTCTGAAATGGTGGTTGCTTATGATGCTGATTGTTAACTAATCATAAGCGTGATAGATGCATTGAATTTACTGGTTATGAGAGCCCTAGCATCAGCTGGAACGTACTAATCTATTGTTCTCTGCAATCTATCTACATTTCAAATAAGAGGTGTTGGGGCATCTTAATTTGTAAAGATTAATTCTTCTCTTAAATGATGGAATCAATGCATGAGGTGCTGTGACTTGATATACAGAACAAATATTCGAAAGTACATAATAATAGCATGGAGGAGTTGAGTTTCAATCCTGAGCTATGACAGCTGTGTTGTTCTTGCTGTCAAGTGCTGGTGCTTTTCCTGAGTCTTGCAGAGCTCTGTTTTAATTGTTTAAAATGCTTTTATTTGGGCATGAATCTCTGCTTCTAAGGTTCTAAGTGTTTGAAGACTCTGTAATGTGCTTGTCTTATGCAAATGTATACTTTGCCAAACTTCTGCAGATGACTCTTCTGAGCAAGTAGTCAAAGCCTTTCCATCTGATCTCTCTGCTGGTGTATGCCATGGGTGGGCCTATGCTGGAGAGGGAGATGTGCATAAAAATGGTTTTGAGTGTAAGATGGAACCTTGTCTGAGCCTTTGCTCCTTCTTGAATTTTATCATTCAGCTCCCGTGTGAGCTGGTTGTAAAAGCTCTCCTTAAGCCAACTATTTCAATCAAAATCTTACAGTTATTTGGATGCATCAACTTAACAATGAAACATTAAGCTTTGTTTGTGATTTGCTGCCTTGGAAATCTTACCTCTGAGAAGTGGTGAAGCATTTCTCCTGAGTAATGGCTTGCTTTTCTTCTTTTTTTTTTTGGCTATCAGAGTACTCTTATGTGAGTAATTTTTCTTAAATTCCATGCAAAGTACTCCTTCCTAACAGAAGCAAAAGCCCTGGCCTTTTAATCTTGCATTATACGTGCTAAACTAAATGTCCCTTTATTGGTATGTGTTGGGCAGAATTTGAATTAGGGATATTAGCTGTACATCCTTACAGTGAGGGAAATAAAGTTCGTCATAAATGCCAACTTATTTCTCTTCCTTTAGGAAACGCACATTATCCACACCTTCAAAGAAGACTTTTATGGAGAAATTCTTAGTATAGTCATAACTGGATATATTCGACCGGAAAAAAACTTTGATTCCTTAGGTCAGTATTGCAGGTGTCCCTCAAATTAGTCTCCTATTTGTCTTATTCATGCAAGTACTGTGTCTTCACTGTCTCTCTTTCCATAATGAGATGTTCTATCTGTTAACCTTTGAAATTTCAGTAAAATGTTTTCATAAGCTAAATGTACAAGTTGGCTTAATTAAAAACATTGGAAAATGTAGGCATATGATTTTGTATCACACTAAAAAATTGTATTGTTGTGTCACTTGTCTGAGGAATAATTTTAAAATCATGGGCTTATAAAAGCATTGGCCTAGTCTGTTAATTTCTTTTTAAAATGCAGCTCTGTTAGAATTGAAATAGTTCATGAAACTCTGTTGGTCTTTCACTAAAATGTCTTTTGGAACAAGGAGAGGGTGGTGCTTATAATAGTGAAAAATGCGCCTCTGGCATGTTTAAAAAAAAAAAAAGGCATTTTAAAACCAAAGAATTCTGCCTTTCAAAACTTGTGATAATAATTATATTCTCCTTCTGTGATTGTTGTCTGGTATTCTGTGGTACACCTTATTTTCACTTGCTATTGTATGTTCAGATTTCAAACCAACTTTTAAATATCCCTATTTTTATCTTTTTCAGAGGCACTTATTTCAGCAATTCAGGAAGACATTGAAGAAGCAAAGAGACAGCTAGATTTACCAGAACATCTTAAACTCAAAGATGATAACTTCTTTCATTTGCCAGAAAGCAAAATAGTGAACAACCACTGAGCAAACCCATGCTGCTGTGTTTTCTTCCCTTCCCCCCCGCCCTGGTCATGGAGCTTTTATTTGCACTGCTTTTGTAGGTACTTTGTTGTTATATGTCTGTTTAGGTAACTGAGGTTGGAACCAACCATACAAGATTATTTCAGTTTCCTTGTGTTAATTCATCATTAGCCAGTCATGCAAAAGGAGTAGAAGGCTGTTTTAGATCCTTACAGAGAAATTGTGTGTCCTAAAGTTACCAGTTGTTCAGAGATCTGAGCACATGACCAAAGTTAATCGTGACATCTTCTGACCTTAAGGTATGGATAGTTCACTTAAGTGAAGAATGTCTGTTTTCAACATACAGAATGTTATTCCAACCTCTTTTTCCAGTTTTATGTCATTCTTGCATCTGGATTTTAACTATAGCTTAGAAAATTTTGCTATTTATTGAGTCAGAAATTCCCTGTGGTGTAGGAAGCCAATGACTAGATAACAATAGCAAGATTAATTCTCTGTAGTTCTTATTTTTATATGCTACACAGCTGTTGTCGTTGAGGCTGTTACTTTAATTGAAGTTATTTATTTTATTTGAAATGGAGGAAATCACTGTTGCTTGTTGAGTTACTGGAACCTGAGATGTACTCCTTCATAGTTGACTGTACATATGACAACACATGACCTGTGTAGTTTACTTCTGAGGAAGTGTTTCACTGAAATTCAGGAGATGAATGACTTGTGAAAGTTCATAAACTTTCAAGGTTCAAGGACAAAAGATGCAGAAATGGTATAACAAGACTTCTGCTCATTGGGCCTTAAGGCAAAAGAGGTAATGAAGGACAACTTTGCACTTTATGTGCTGCTGGCATTTGTCATAGGAAAATAGGGAGAACCTGGGCGTTATTCACTACACTGGTAATAAAATGGCGGACTTCAAGATTGGTGTTACTGTAAGGCACAGAAAAATCTCATCAACTCTCTGCACCAGGTGCAGGTAAGAGCCAAGGTTTTGGCTGACTGAGTAGATCAGTACACAAATGAAAGCCTTTGGGGATTCATTGATATATTAATATCAACACTATAGTGGGTATTGGTTATTTATTACAAGTGATTGCAGCTGTTCCTACTCTGAAATGTAGGGATAGGTAAATGGAGGGGGTATTGTCAAAATTGATATTAATATGGAAAATACTTCTTGAAGTATGTAATGTGTGATTCCAAATCTACTCCCCCCCCCCCCCCCCCAGTTTTTCTATCCTCTACTCAGTGAGTGGAACTAGGTAAGCTGCAGTGGCTTTGTCATGTTCATAATCTTTTGATGTCAGCTTGTGATGTGGCTGCAACATTTTCTGAAATAGAAAATGGTTCTGGGGATATGTCTGAACTGTAGTTCTGTGTCTGAGCTACTATGTACAATTTGGACTGCACAATTTCTGCAGTGCAATTTTATGAATTTACTCCTTGTCCTATCCTATTCGAATCCTACTTTTCACTGTAGGATTTAAGAGAGTTTTAACAAGGTAGCTGTTTGGGTCTTTGTGGCAGGTACTGTCAGGATGTTAGTTCCACTTCATATTGTTTTAACTTTCAGCCAATATCATAGGATATTATTAGGCAAGAGGTCTTGAGCAAATCAAGGACTTGCATTTGCTCGGTAGGCCTTCAAGAGAAACTTGATTTCATTTAAATGAATTGTTCACTGCTGCTGTTGATAGCAGAAACAGACAGAATACAGAATTGGGGGGGCAGTTATCAGCAGTGAGACCTACTTTTTTTTTAAAGGAGAACAAAATAATTTAGTGGACTTTTTTTATACAACATGGTGGAAACTATTTATAAACAGTCTGTAAAAGAATTGTTTTGCAAGAGTGACAGTTGGATTTTTTTGATGTTTTAAAATGGAGGGATGAAGGGAGATTTTTTTTTTGCAAAGATTTGAGGCATTCTTGAGATGCAATAATGTCAAAATCTTATGTTTTACTTCTTTGAAGAATAAACAAAAGGCACACTAGTCAACTGAATATATTGTCAAGAATGTATTTAAAGAATAGATTGTTGTTCATCATGGTACTGTAGCTAAACATTCAGCCTCCTTTAAAACTGTTTTTTGCCAGTAATTTCATGTGTCTGTTGTGGAAACCATGGTGCCTTAAGCTGGTTGTCTGAATAATACTTTTCTGTATCTGCTGATAAACGTTACTATCAAAAATTGAATTCACCATTTGGTTATAGAACCACTGTGCTATCAATAGAGAACAGTGGCAAAGGAAAGACTTAAAAAACTTTTAGTTTGCTCTCAAATTGTAGCTGAGGTGTGGTGTATGGATACACTGAACTGATAAACTGCTCTTTGTGTGTTTGTCTTCAAATTAGAGAAAATGTTACCAGATTCATTTGGCTGAGTGTACCTGTCCACATTATTTCAGAGAAAATGTTATGTATCAACTGTTTAAGCTCAATGCATAAATCCTAGCACAATATAAACTTTATGAAGGGTTATATTTTTGTATTATGTACAAACAACTATTTATTCCAGTTGATGTTGCTGCACTGTACCATTAATAAAGGAGCTGTAATTGACAAAGTTATCCTTCTTGTGGCAGGTTTCCTTTCCTTTACCACACCTAGCAAAGTTAGTTGTCTCAGTCTTACACAAAGCTTTGTGGGCGTGACTGCCTAAAAAGCTAGACTGACAGAAAAGAGTAGTGAGATTTTTTTCAGCCTTCCTAGCGTGTCTGAAAACTGGCCTCGCTCTGGTGACTCTTGTGCTTTAGTCAGAACTTACAGGAGCTACAGCCTTAGAATTCACAGCCTGAAACCTGTGGGTTGATTTGTCTGTACACTTTCTTTCAAAAGTTTTTAAAACTGCTTGTTTCTTCTAGGATTCAGATGGAAGAAGTTGCATTCTTCTCCCATGTTCTGCTTCAATTGTTAGACATTCATCTAGGTTAGGGCAAAGATCTATCTGCTGCTGCTTGTTGTGTAGTTGACTCTGTGTAAGCACTGCTCAGCAGTAACTAAAACATCAGTTTGTCATCAATATTATTCTCATCCTAAATCTAAAACACAGCACTATACCAGCTACTAGGAAGAAAATTGACTCTATCCCAGCTGAAACCAGGGCAACAGCCACCCCTTATTCTATACCATCTGCGTCACGCCCAGGTCCCACACCTTCCAATACATACCTGTTAATCACCGCCACTTTCCCTGACTTTTGATATATATACACACAGTTATCATTCCCTTAGTCTATGGGCCATTGTTCTAAAATGTCCATTGAGTTCATTTAGTCCATGACTTCGGGCTCCAACTGTCATAACAGTCCTTCAGGGCAGGAGAGATGGTGTCTGGTGTTGGAGTGTTGCATGCTGAAGCCAGTTCTGGTTCCATCTGTCTGCTTCTATAAATGCTGCACTTTGCTCGGTTTCATCAAAGTTCATTCTTCATTAATCTGGGTGGTTCTTACTGTAATACTGTTGATATGGCATATAGTCACCACAGAAGTGATGATATACAGTATTATATAGCAACTAACATCGTACCATTTGGTTCATTGGCTGTTTTCACCCAAAGTCAAATCCCTTTGAGGTACACATCAGAATTCCCAATCCTCCTGCATCGCCTGCCAAGTGCACCTAGGTCCTTGAGCAGAAACAATCCCATGAATGGGTTTGCCTTTACCTGAGGCAGGAATAACCCAGACCGTCTTCCCTACCATGTTTCTTATGTGCCCTACAGGGACTTTATCCCCCTCTACAGTATGTAAAAGTTTTGACTGGGCAGGGCCAGCTCCATTGGCAGATCCCCTGGTGTTGACTAAGCAGATGGCTTTTGCTAAATGTGTATCCCAATGATTGAATGTCCCACCACCCATTGCCCTAAGGGTATGTGATATACCAACTCAATGCCATGCTCTCTGGCCCAGGTGTCTATGAGGTTGTTTTGGAAATGAGTCCTGTTGTCTGACTCAGTTCTTTCTGGGGTGCCATGTCACCACAGGACTTGCTTTTCAAGGCCCAGGATGGTGTTCCACGCGGTGGCATGGGGCACAGGATATGTTTCCAGCCATCCAGTGTTGCTTCCACCATGGTGAGCACATGGCGCTTGCCTTGGCAGGTTTGTGGGAGTGTGATATAATCAATCTGCCAGGCCTCCCCGTATTTATATTTTGGCCATTGTCCTCCATACCAGAGAGGCTTTAACTGCTTGGCTTGTTTGATTGCAGTGCATATTTCACATTCATGCATAACCTGTGCAGTAGTGTCCATGGTTAAGTCCACCCCTTGATCATGAGCCCATCTATATGTTGCTTCTCTGACTTGATGGCCTGAGGTGTCATGGGTCCACCAAGCTGTAAATAATTCACCCTTATGTTGCCAGTCCAGATCGGCCTGATCCACCTGCTGGTTGTTTTGACATTCTTCGTTAGCCCAACTCTTGGGTACATGAGCAGCTACATGACGTACTTTTCCAACCCAGGCAGCAATGTCTCGCCACAGTGTGGCAGCCCAGATGGGTTTCCCTCTGCGCTGCCAGTTCCTCTGCTTCCATTGCTGTAACCACCCCCACAGGGCATTTGCCACCATCCATGAGTCAGTATAGAGATAAAGTACTGGCCATTTTTCTCATTCAGCAATATCCAAAGCCAGCTGGATGGCTTTCACCTCTGCAAACTGACTTGATTCACCTTTTCCTTCAGCAATTTCTGTGACTTGATGTGTAGGACTCCATACAGCAGCGTTCCATCTCTGGTGCTTTCCTACAATACAACAGGATCCATTAGTGAACAGGGCATATTGCTTCTCATTTTCTGATAGTTTATTATACAGTGGGGCCTCTTCAGCACGGATCACCTCCTCCTCTGGTGATATTCCAAATTCTTTGCCTTCTGGCCACTCCATGATCACTTCCAAGGTTCCTGGGCAATTGGGGTTTCCTATTCGAGCCCATTGTGTGATTAGTGCAACCCACTTACTCCACGTAGCATCAGTTGCATGATGTGTAGAGGGGACCCTCCCTTT